CATAACAGCAGCTTAAAATAAGTCATAGAAAGGTGAAGCAAGTCATAACATTTTGATTTGATGTTGATGAAGGCAAACATTTTATTTTCTTTCTGTGCAAAATGATGAATTGTTCACAGTAAGACCAGTATGCAGAAAGTAAAAAAAGTTCAAATTTGACCTCAGGGTCAGTTTTGACATTTGATTTCTGAGGAATGTCAACAAGAGTTGATGTAACACCTTTTATGCGAGTGTGTGGTGTAAGTCATGAATCACTGGCCTGAAATTACGGTGTGTTTTGAGGAGTAATAATAGGTATCATGAACATCAGTCACGTCAGCTAGCGCTCAAGAATGTCAGTGACGGGGTTTGACCACATTCAGAATTGAATAAATGCGTAACTAATTAATTACAGAGTGTCTATTATCACTGAAAGCTATTTACACTAGCTCCACCAACCGCTGACTGTTCAAGCCAGACGAAATGAAGACAGAAGCAGTGTGGTAACAGAAACCGTGTTGTGGCGAGTAAAGGGGCCTGTGCCCGGGTTACGTTTGAGGTCTGGTACAAATATGACATAGGCTACAAAAATACTACATTTGTAGGCTACATTTGTATCCACAAGAAATCATTAAAAGATTGCGATCGCGATTCAAACGCATGCAATCTTATTCTTAAATGACGATTCCGCTATGTCAATTAAACCTTTGAAATCACATCGGAATATTTAAACCTGCTTTCGCGTAGCCGCTGATCCAGAGAGAGCAGCGCTCATCATGTAAGCTTTATGTTTGAAACCGTCTACACATAAAGTCTTAGATCTGTAATTTTGTTCAGTGTATTAGGGGTGTGACAAGACACTTATCCCACGAGACGAGACAAGACACGAGAAAACACTCCACGTCCTCATATATATACTTAGGTACAAGCTCGGCTGAGGACGTGGAGTGGCGGCTTATCCAGAGAAGAAGGGATTGGTAGAATGGAGTGATGGATAGGTGAATGAAGAGAGTAAAATCAATGAAAAGCTGCTTTTGTCTTTCATCTGTGCTCGTGAGCGTCCATTCTGCCCCTGCCACCAAAACCCGTCTGAGGTGTTACACAATAGCGAGAAATACACACAGACATACTTATATAGTGAGGATTTTTACTCATCTGCTTTCTATTTCTCTATTAGTCATCGTGGCTGTAGCTGTCCATTAAAATGAACTGATGTCTGACTTTAAGAGAACGGCAGCGCTTATCCCATAACTGTACTGAGAAGGATTAAACCCCCATCCCGTCCACACACGGACCGCCACCGTATTCCCGCTTCACCTCCGTGTGGACGTGGTAACTTTCATCATGAGACAGAGAGAAAGCTGAGATGAAGTGGCCCCGTGACGGCGGCTCAGACTGGGACACTCGTCAGTCTCAGCAGCGCTCCGTCCGAGGAGGATGTTTGTTTGGTTGTGTTGTGGGTCAAAGTCAGGACAGAGGATTAGTTTCTTTGAAAAGTGTGTCGCACCTGGACGTTTTCTGGCTGATTCTTGAACCGTATTCAGTACGTATTTGTTCATTCTCTTTTAATCTAATGTTTTAAGGATTATTGTTAGTTTACATTACATTAGTTTAGGCTTTTAAAAACACCTACTGCTAATAAATCATATTATTACAGGAAAATATAACACTTCATGTCATTTAAATACATTAATTTAGTGTTCTTTAAGCAAATTTAAAAAGTGTATTCAAAAACTCTAATTATATAACAGGCAATTCAACATCCGTTTCATTAAGAATAGAACACAGTATCTATGTTCTTCCGCTTTTGTCAGTTTACTTGTAACCCTATGAAGCCTGCTGTATCATATTTGTTATTTAAATTTCTAAGACCTCTAAATCAACATATTCAAAATTTTATTTAAAAACCTGTTGTACACAATCTACTACATTTACATAGCAAGTAAAACGCCTTTTATTATTATAAAACTCTTCAGGTTGTGGTTCATGCGTCTTTTTGTTGTCTTTACTGATTTTAATAAACGTAAGAATAACTTGTATATTGTTAGTGATATTCCAAGATGAACACTTCCTGGACTGAAGCAACTTAGGTTTACTTGATTATCCGTATATAATATTTAAGAAATATCATTGCATTGCATTCTATATTTTGAAACTATGGAGCTTTGATCATAAAACTAAGCATTTTAATATCAAGACATATTATTGAGAGATATAGAGTAACAAATTATATTTATATATGCATATTTTTGTTCAGTTTGTGCCTCTAAGTAAAGTTGACTTGTTTTTCCTCAAGTATGAGCTCCACACTACATGAGCAAATGTCTCATGTAGAAAAAATGTGTGTGTATAATCATGTAAGCTTTATGTTTGAAACCGTCTACACAGTAGGCTACATTTCTGTTTTGCAAACATTAGCGAAATAATAACAAAAGTATTGGGATAAAATTTTATAGTCCAGATATAGACTCTGATGTTGCGGCAGCCGCAATCAAAATGAGTAATTGACCTTTGGAACTAGCCTAATATTATGCTTCAAATATTTTGTTACTTTATGCCATTAAGTGGCGACCAGTTTATGTTAAAATGTATTTGATGTCTGAATCATTCATTCAAGAGATGCGTTCAAAAACTTTGGACGAAACAAGTCTTTATTCGTTTATTTCAAATGATTTTACATGATTTCATTTAAATGAATACATATTTTTAAAAAGACACATTTATAGCATTAAATAAAAAAATTTGTCAGAAACTCATTTTGTTTGGTTGTCTAATGTTTTGTTTTCAGAGTCGAAAACAAAACATTAGACAATGGTCCCCCTCGGTCCATTCGTCGCGGGGCCCCCTCAAGCACGGTGCCCGGTGCCCGGTGCGACCGCACTAGTTGTACCCTCCCTAAGGACGGCCCTGGATATGACGCTAGTTTTACTCAAATGAAACGGTCAAATGCTCAGGAAGTGACTCTCAGAGCAGTTCTGGAGATGTTGTTCATGTATTTATGTCCTCATTTCGAGAGACGGCAGACGCTGAAATCACCGCGCTCTTCAGTACGTGTGTACAGAGAGCAACATACAAGATTCATATTTAAATAGTCTTTTTGCAGCTTAATATTTACAGATACTAGTCTCGCGATTTGATTTAAGTATAATGACCTACTTTTGATTAATTCATTCAGACAAATTCCATGACATTCCGCGTTATACAGTAAATTCCGTTTTTATGACTGGATTCTGCGATTCCGTCTGCTTTTTCTGCATCGTGGAAATCATAGGGCCCTATTTTAATATAATCAGATACACTGAATATGCTATTGCATACGTTTTTACAATGTACTATAATACACTGAGGTGCAAATAGTATTTGCCACTATTTACACTTAGTGCAAAGAAAATACCGCTATTTTCACAAATAATATTGCAAAAAAAAAAGACTAATAAATAAAATAAAATCATGATTTAAAGAAAATAGTCGGTGAGTAGGTGATTTGGTTCAAAAACATTTTTTGTTATGCTGGTTGGAAGGCGTAGGATCATAAAATGTTTGTTCAATCACCTGCCTGACAATGTATGTATTTGCATACCTCCGTGCACCCAGTTCGCGCAGAAATGATACGTGATCAGCGCGTTCCATTACGCTACTGCAGACCGAGCGAGAATGGAAGGCGTTTGATTGTGATATTATGCGCTTTGTGAAGTGATGTTTTCTCACCGGTGAGCGAGACATGAGGTAATCTGACAGCGCTGACGCCGTCTCTCATTGTGCCGCTGCTTAGCCTCTGGTCTGCCTGTTCGCAAACACAGGTGGTCGACACATGCACTCTAGAAAGCTTCATGTTTGTCCAGTGTCTGCACTATTTTTCTCCAGAAGTTATGTTAAAAATGCCTTTGTACTCTTTTAAATTAAAGTTGCGGCAATCTCATGACTCTCTCACACATGCGCTTGTCAATGCAGCCTGCAGTCTGTTGTTGGTGCAGTCTCTGCTATTTTGTTGTTGTTGTTGTGTCTCTTTAGTTTTATTTTCTACTGTGAAACAATGGCCCGAGGCAGTGCTGCCACCTTGTGGAACAACTGATTAGTGCAAAACAAATTCAATGCACACGTGCGACCCAAATCGAATTACAAAAATTGAATGGTGCGCGTACAGTACGTGCATACTAGTGGTGACAGAATTACATTTACATTTAGTCATTTAGCAGACGCTTTTATCCAAAGCGACTTACAAATGAGGACAATGGAAGCAATCAAAATCAACAAAAGAGCAATGATATGCAAGTGCTATGACAAGTCTCAGTTAGCTTAATGCAGTACACATAGCAAGGGTTTTTTAATTATATAATAAAAAAAACAAACAGATAGATTAGAAAAGAATCTATCTTTTCTAGAAAAAACATTAGAATTAAAATAAAAAGAATTAGCATCACGAGCACTGTACGTGGACCATTGCATACATGTAACAACCGAAGTATACTTTGGAGTTGACAAAAAACATGGTGGTGCATGTATAGTTTGTGCGTACTGTTCTGATAATGAAATTTGTGTTGCGCGCATTGTACGCATACACTAGTGTACGTGTAAAAAAATATCCAAGTATAATATACTTTGGGTTCTTGAATATAGCACACTAGTTGTGAATGGTTTCCACTTTGACCGTGGAAATGAGTAGATATGTCCTGTTATGTTTCATGAAAAACGTTTCAAGAATATTGTTTTGCTACATGTCGGCAAGTAGACAGAATTTTTATTTTGTCTTTTTGAGGAAATGCTGAAGTTGCACAAATGTACCATGGGCAGTGCATCTCCCTCTTTCCCATGTTTATAAAGTCTTTTTTTAACTGCTTTAATTTAACCATGAATATAGAATTTTGTTTGCCTGATTGTCTGTTTCACAAAATTGTTTTAAATCCCTATTTTTTTTTAACAGATCCAAAATCTTGAACAGTTTTGTATAGGTCTAGTTTGAGTTTGAGTCCGTTGTTTTGGCTGTGTTCACTCAGCGCCGCTCTGCTGACCTGTTTCCACAGGAAGATCTGTGTGCACTGTAAGTGTGTGCGGGAGGAGCATGTGGTGCGCTCTGTGCCCGGACAGCTGGAGAGGATGATGATGAAGCTGGTGTCAGACTTCCAGAGGCACTCCATATCCGATGACGACTCGGGCTGCGCCTCGGAAGAATACGCCTGGGTGCCACCCGGGATCAAGCCTGAACAGGTGAGCAGGCAGCATTCAGAAGAATCTATACATACAATGACATTTTAGTAAAGTGTTCACTGATTGGAGAGTTTGCTCTGAATCAGCCAATCACAGCCTCTCTTGCACTCAGTCAAACAAAGCGGATGCTCTTTTCCATACAATGAGACATAATGGTGGTTCACACGTCAAGCTTCACTACAGACAAAACAACATGATTTTGGTTGCCTCGTGTAGTTTTGATATTTAGCATTATGTCTTTTCCACATTTTATTTCATTCTGCCCAGTAACCACCCACTTGCACAGGAAGAGACTGTACTCGTATGAAAAGCGACCAGTCACAGTTTGTGTGTAGTTTTCTAAGCCAATGTAAAATTGTATTATAAGTGTGTATTTTTTCTTAAGTGTTTGCTTTTTTATTGCATTTTTTCCCTATCACATAGTAATCATCCTAAAGTAGATATCAATCGAAACCTTAAGTCCAGCTCACATTGTGCGATTTTGGCCACAATTTGGTTGTCTGAGACAAATTTTGGAAATCCTAAAAGATTCATATAATCCTAGGCTAAAATCTGTAGTCTTTGATCGCTGGTTTGACATGTTCACCGACAGCCGATTAATGGCCGTTGCTTCAACAAAATTCTGGCAGTGTCAGAAGATTTGGCGCACTGTCCTGCAGTGTGACGTCTCCTACGACGAGCGTCAAACTGTCTCCGTTTTTCAAGACAAGCCATTATCAGAATTAGAGATTTCTAAAATCGCCATAAATTCCAGCGCTCCCATCCTCCACTCACAGAATTCATATGATATGTTGCCTTTGCTATATAAACACCGGTTGTGCGCTGTTTTCATTTGGGTGTGTAGTGCAGCTTACACTATTCTTCTTAAATATGCCGCTATTGCCGCCATTCATTTACTTTTCATGATAGCCAACATTTCAGCATCGCATGTAATGCAGCTCGCAGTCACTGAGCGTGTATGGGCTGATAATGTAAAACTCCAGACAAGTTTTCTTGCGCGCACCCGTTTTTAACGCGTCTTGACTGCCGTACAGTCTGACATTAATGACAACTGAGATCCCACCGTTTGACATGATAATCATGTTCGTAGTCTGGCAAGCAACAATCGTAAAGGACTATTAAAAACGCACAGTGTGAGCCCGGCTTTAAACACTCAAAATTCATCCTGTGGAAGCAGTTTTAAATCAGACATTGCATTACCATGGAAACTGTACTTTAAATCCTTTTAGCAGGCTCCTCCCCCTAGTGGGCGGTGTCAAGTGTCATATTACAAAATCAGTTCTTTTAAATTGTAATAATGTTTTGTAATATTACTTTTTATATTTTTCATGATAAGCAGAAGAGAGAAAAAAAACTTACCCAAATGCATTTATGTTGTATATTATGGTAGTAAAAAATAAAATAAAATAAAATCTTAATTTTCATTATGCTAAATATAATTTCTTAGGGTGCAATGTTTTTTGATGTTTTCATGAATCTCACCATCCATATTCACCTGATTTTATTAATGACATTGATAATGTCTTGTAAATGTGTGTGTGCACAGCCTCAGTACTGTAACTCTCTGGATGAAGAAGAGAAGAAAGAATTGAGGTTATTCAGCCAGCAGAGGAAGAGAGAGAATCTGGGCCGCGGCATCGTACGACTTTTTCCAGTCACCATGACCGGAGCCATCTGTCAACAGGTAGAGAAACAGAGACTTATTAAGATTTATAAATTAAATTAATAAAGAAAATTACTATAGTAATAATACTATTGTCCTATAAAAAAGATACAAGTAAATAATAATAATATTCTTTTTATTTTACAGCACTATCATAATAATAATTTATTATTATTATGCAAATATTTTTTTCAGTTATACAAATGAAAAAATATTATAGAAATACCTCTACTTTACTGTAAAAAATGTGTACAGTGCAACAGTAAAATAATACTAATTTATGACCGTTTTAATTTCTTTGCTTTAAAATGTTCAACCATATAGCTTTTTTGTCATATCATTATAAAAGTTTAACAAACAGTAAAACTGCAGTGATCGGGAGATTTCATGGGATCTTTCACTGTTCCTGCTGTTCTGCTTGTTTCTGTCTCATCCCCGCGGTCATGTGGGAGCAGCCAGTGCTTTCAGAAAATGCTGAGCTTCCACCGTGTAATTATGAGTTTGGAAACGTTCTAAATCTCTCTTCCTCTCAGTGTGGCAGGCAGATCTGCGGCGGTGACATAGCGGTGTTTGCGTCACGAGCGGGTCACGGCTCCTGCTGGCATCCTCAGTGCTTCCAGTGCGCTTCCTGTAACGAGCTGCTGGTGGATCTCATTTACTTCTATCAGGACGGACACATCTACTGCGGCCGGCACCACGCCGAGCACATCAAACCCCGCTGCCAGGCCTGCGACGAGGTCCTCTCTATCCCTACAGTCATCACACACTTCATATTTCAATCAGTTTGTTGGTATAAAATATATGAATTTGTTGGAGGCGTGCCAGACACACTGAGCCTTGGTGCTCATGCAGGGGTCCCAGGTTCTAATTTACCTAAATAGAATTTGATCCCAGCCCTGCATCAATGAGTATTTAATAATAATTATTATAATTATTGAAATGCTAATGTATTTTATTAATTATAAAATTAAAATGTCTATAGAACAGTGTTATTTTAGTGGCACTATTATAGTTTGTTAGAAATTTAATTTAGATTTTATTTTGATATTTTTTGTTTTCACGTTTTAGTAATTTTGTTCTGCATTTTTGACATTTTTATTATACTTTGTTTTTATTTTATTATTTCAACAAACTAAGCAAAAATTTGATTTGCAAAAAAATATTTAATTTCAATGAAAAAATACGTTTTTATATGGTTTTAGTTTTAAGTAACTATAATAACGCTGTTATAATAATACTATACAATCGAATTTGATCCCAGACCCACATCAATGAGTATTTAATAGCAGTAAACAATTTAAACACTATTTATAATTACAAACAGTTATTTCACGATTAGACCAAATTTTTGCATGCAAGGTCAAAAAAGCATTTATTTTTACCTTATTTGCTCAACGACTCCCAAACGATTCGCTCAACGATTCATTTTTCCAAACCCCTCCTTTGCGTGACGCTAATCTGCGGTGATTGGTCCGATTGGTCTCAGTTTCATTTAATCTCACCTGTAATGCCTGATAAAGCAGTGTTTGTGAGCGCAGTGCTGCTTTGTGTACAGCGTTACCGGGGAAACCGCTATTTTTACCGCTCCAAAAGCCGCACCTAGTGGCAAAGAATGAATTTGCATTTTTAATCAGACCAACACGAAAAGACCAACAAGTGGGCGGGCAATATGCTAATGTTTCATGTTGACGTCAATATGAACAGGCTTGGGATTCATTTTAAAAACGACTCGTTTCAATGATTCAGAGTCAACTCTTTATACACGGTGCACTTTCAGATTTAAAACTTTGCAGGATGTTTTCATTCACCTAGAGCTGTGTTACACACTGCATGAAAGGTAATTTTCAAAAATCCATAATAGGGGCACTTTAAATGAACTAATAGAGTTCAGTCTGGCCCTGCATGATTTTTTGAGTGGGTTCAAACACACGTACTGTTGCTGTGTATGTGACTTACGCAGTTTCTTGCTCCTCCTTGTGGTGATCAGATCATCTTTGCGGACGAGTGTACGGAGGCGGAGGCCCGGCACTGGCACATGAAGCACTTCTGCTGTTTCGAGTGTGAGACAGCGCTGGGTGGCCAGCGCTACATCATGAGAGAGAGCCGGCCGTACTGCTGCCACTGCTACGAGTCTCTGTACGCCGAATACTGCGACACCTGCGGAGAACATATCGGTGAGAGCAGACTGACAACACTATATACCAGCACTAGATCACATGGACATGACACGCAGTGAGAGAGTGGGAAAAAGATCAAAAGAACACTGAGTAAATACAACTAAAATATATAGCAGAATTTTTGAGGCTGAACAAAAGCATTTCATGAAAGGGAAAAAAATTACATTGAATTTTGCATATTTTTGGATATTTTATCTCCCACTTTTTATCATAATATCACATCACTATAAATAATAATATATATATATTTTTTTTTTACATCCGTTTAAATTAAAGGCAATGCAACAAATACTACCATTATGTATAAATATAATTTAAATAACATACATAATATACAGTGCCCTCCACTAATATTGGCACCCTTGATAAATATGAGCAAAGGCGGCTGTGAAAATAAATCTGCATCTTTCAATCGCCTTTGCTCATATTTATCAAGGGTGCCAATATTAGTGGAGGGCACTGTAGATTTGTGCATTACAATATTGAGAATTTAGGGGGAAACTTATTATTTGTCATGAACTTATAATGAAACTTAACATGAAATTTAAGTCTCATATTAAAGCCTCAACATTATAATAATCTGTATTATGAAATGCCACCAGAACATCAGAAGCTACTATCATTTAAAAGTTTGGGATCAGCAAGGTTTTTTTTAAATAAATTATTTTTATTCAGCAAGGATGCATTACATTTGTCAGAAGTTGCAGTAAAGACTTCTATTGCAGATGAGCTTTTTTATTCAAATAATCCTGAAAACAAATATCAGTTTCCACAAAAATATGATGCAGCATAACTGTCTCATAAATGTTTCTTGAGCAGCTAATCAGCATATTAGACTGATTTCTGAAGGATCATGCGACACTGAAGACTGGAGTAATGATGCTGAAAATTCAGCTTTGATCACAGAAATAAATTGCATTTTAAAATATATTAAAATAGAAATCTTTTTTTTATTATTGTAATAATATTTCACTGTTTTACTGTATTTTTGATCAAACAAATCCAGCCTTGATGAGTATAAGACTTCTTTCAAAATAAATTAAAAGATGGCCTCAAACGTTTGAATGGTAATGTAAATAAACTGCCTTTTTGTTATTATTATTATTATTATTATTTTCTACAATACTACTTAATAGGCTTAAGTTACTTTTAAAAGGATGCACTAGTTGCATATATAAAACCTTTATTTGTTGCGCTGCCCACTTGCCATACCATGAGCACACTTGATTTCTTGATTCTTGAAAAACACCCTTGATTGTTTTAACAAACTGAAGCACATGTTGAAGTTCTTTCTGTGTAAATGACAGCATTGCTACAGATGCAGAAGCTTAACTTGCATTCCATTCGATGACGGCAGTAAAAAGCTCAGTAATTACAGAGAAATGCTGTGCTTCCTGATTGAAGGGTTTGAGCGTTTGACTTCCTGGCTCTCTGTCTGCAGGTATAGACCAGGGTCAGATGACGTTCGAGGGCCAGCACTGGCACGCGTCCGAGGCATGTTTCTGCTGCTCCTGCTGTCGGCTCCCTCTGCTGGGCAGACCCTTCCTGCCTCGCGGCGGACTCATCTTCTGCTCCCGCTCCTGCTCGCTCGGGGACGACCCAGACAACTCCGACTCCTGCGATTCTGCCCTGCAGAGCAAACCAGTGTCACACAAGACCGTTCAAAACCAGCAGCGCACTTCCACACCACGGCCACAGGAGGGAGCTAGCATCACTGCCGCCGTAGCGAACACAACAGCCAACGGGGGTCATTTTACACTGGACAGCAAAGGTACATGTTATCATGCGTTTTTCTATGAAACTTCACACATATGCATTATTTTCTCAAAAAAACAAACAAACACACATAATTCAGGTGCATCTCACAAAAGCTAGCTAGAAATATCATTTCTATCATTTCCAAAGACAAAAGTAAAAAAATATTTAGCATAAAGGAAAAGACTATTTTTAGTAATATTAAGAAATGTGACATCGTTTTCATATTTTTCCCAAATATTCTCATTGTTGTAATATGTCTTAATGTTTTATTTCTTTAGGTTTGTTTTTAAATAATTATCATTAATCTTAATGATTAAGCACATTTTCTCACAGAATTCTTATTTTTAATTTTTTTAAAAATGAAGAAAAGAGATATTCTTCAAATTAAAGTGCATTTGTAAACATACATAACAGTAGTATTTTTTTTTTTCTCTTTGTTAACGTGGAAAAAATAAAATCTCTTTGAAATCTCATTAATCTCAATGGTGATTAAACATAATTAAGCAGTTTTCCTCCCAAAATTATCATAACAGTTCAATCAAATAAATGTTATTTTAATTGAAAAGTATAATTGTATGTATGCATAGTTTCAAAAAAAGTTTGCAGACAAGATGATCAGTGTTTAGGTCCTAAAATAGCTTTGATTTTCTTCATTATTATTATTACTTTTGTTACTTTTATTCAGCAAGGATGGATTACATTTATCAAAAGTGTCAGTAAAGACATTTATAATGTTACAAAAGATTTCTATTTCAAATAAAAACACTTTCAAAGAATCCTGAAAAAAAGTATCACAGTATCTCCACAAAATATGAAGTAGCAAAACATTGATAATATAAGAAATGTTTCTTGAGCAGCAAATCAGCATATTAGAATGATTTCTGAAGGATCATGTGACACTGAATGATGCTGAAAATACAGCTTTGCATCAAAGTTACATACAAGATTTAATAAAACAGAAAACGATTATATTAAACTGTACTATTATTTCACAATATAACTATTTTGTATCAAATAAATGCAGCCTTGGTGATCGTAAGAGACGACTTCTCTCAAAAAAAAAAAATTTTTTTTAAACATATTACCAAAACATAACCAGGACGATGTGTATGTGATCAGCAATTGTAAAAATGTCCTCCATGCATGTAATTGACACTGTTTGTATTCAGAAGAATCTCTAATTATCCGCTTGTTCGTTCTGCAGGTGTTCTCACCTCTTTCCATCCTATTCCGAATGGCCAAACTCCACCGTATGAACAAATACACCCACAACACTCACAGCTCCGTCCAGCAGCCAATGACAGGACAGCATTCGTTTGCAAGGACCAATCAGGCATCAGCACACAGCAGGTGAATCACCGGCCAGACAGTCTGGAGTTTACCGTGGAGCTGAACGGATACGCAGAATTTGGCCCTTTCCCGCCGAGCTGCACGTCTAGAGGGACTTCCACTGCAAAGGATTGTGGGAACGTCAGTTGTACAGGTATGCTTGATTTTACAGAGTCCGATTCAGTAAAGCTATCTATCACATCTGAAGCTGTATTTCTTACCTGGCCTCATAGGAATTTCCTCTCAACTGGAGTCTTCAGATGCGTTTGATGATCTAAATGACTCCGACTCCTTCCCGCCTCCTCCGCCCCCTGTTTTCTTCCATCCGTCTGATTCGCCAAGCCCTTCGGATCCCCCGGCCGCTGTCACTGAAGCCGAGGATGCCCCTGCAGCACCGGTCCGCAGCAGCACCGCCAGGGTCAGCTTCAGAGAGCCAATCAGCTGCAGCTATTCAGTGGAAGAGGAAGAGTGGGAGGAAGAGGAACGGGTGGAGACGCAGAGAAGAGAGGGAGAGGATGAGGAGCAGGAGGAAGATGGAGAGGAAGTCGAAGGAAGTTTGGGACACAGGTTGCGCTTCTGCACTGAAGTACCATCTCAAATGGACCTGCTGGGTAAGATCATAATGCCCGCTAAAACAATGTGCTATTATTATTATAGGCTATTTAACGGCAGCATTCGAGCATTAAAATAGTAATGAAATAGACAACAATGGCAAAAATGGAAAAGGGTCAATCATTATGATTTTTGGTAACACTTCAGGGAACACATTCACTATTAACTAAGAGTATTCCCTTAATTAATTCCTAACTGCTGCTTATTGGTAGTAAGTAAGGTGGTTGTTGCAGTAGTTAAGTTTAGGTATTGGGTTGGGTTAAGGGATGTAGAATATGGCCTTGCAGAAAAAAGCATTAACGTGTGCTTTATAAGTATTAATAAACAGCCAATATGCTAGTACTATTGCATGCTAATAATCAACTAGTTAATAGTGATAATTGTTCCTAAACTAATGTTTACCAGCTTATTTAATGTTTCCGAAGTCTCCACAAAAAATATTAGGCAGAAAAAAAATGTTTTGAACAATGGTGAAATCATAAAATGGTGTCATAGATTGGTTTCTGAAGATCATGTGACACTGAAGACTGAAGTAATGATGCTGAAAATTCAGCTTTGCCTCACAGGAATAAATTACATTTTAAAACATACTAAAATAGAAAACAGTTATTTGAATTTGTAATAATATTTCACAATAGTACTGTATTTTTGTTCAAATAGATGAAGCCTTGGTGAGCATAAAATACTTCTTTCAAAACAAAAAAATCGTAGTTATTCTAAACTTAAATTATTCTATTAATTATTATTTGACCTGTAGTGTATATGTCTGTGTGTGTGTGTCTGTGTGCGTGTGCGTGTCTGTGTCTGTGTCTGTGTGTGTGTGTGTGTGTGTGTCGAAATGCTTAAAGACTGGATTTCCCGAACAGGGGTTTGTGAATTCACAAAAGGCTAATAATTATTTCAATAGAACATAATATTAAAGGTCTGTACAGTCTTATTAACCCTTGATTATCAAGTCATACATTATTTTAGGAAAGACACTTGTGTTTAACATCATTACAACAAAGCTGTTGGTGCACTTATAGTCACACATTTCATTGTTTACTGTTTTTTCATCCAAATTCTGGTTTGGACAGATGGATTCAGTAGTGATGAGGCCAGACTGAAACCAGGGAGATAAAACAAGAAATTCAAGAAGTTTATCATGTCATGATTGCTTCAGGGTATAGTTCACCCAAACAATACTAATTCTGTCAGCATTCACTCACCCTACAAACATGCATGACTGACTTTCTTCTTTAGAACATAAAAGGTGAATTTCTGAGGAATATTCTCACAAGTATTTTAATATAACGAGTGAACCAGCACTAGGGCTGCACAATAATGGTTAAACTGTTAATCACAATTAGTTTGCTAAAAAAAGAAAATCACTATTGTTAATCACAAATTTTTTTTTTTTACATTTCACCAGAATTAATACACTTTCACATAAGCACAAATCAAGAGAATGCAGATTTAGTCACAGGCTAACAGTGTGAAACAAAACAGACTGGCTATATGACACTTTTGAGTGGAAGATCTACGCTCATCAGCACTTTTTCCATAATGTAGAGAGAGCATGTGTGCATGGTTGCCAGGTTGGGAAGATTAAGTAAAACACTGCAGAAAATGTATCCATTTAGGAGACGAGCTCTTATAGGGTGATTTGAACCCTTGACACCTGGCAACCGTGACCATGAAAGCTTGTGGAGGCTTGTTACCAATCTAAGATAAAGCTAAATGCTTTGGCAACATTGTGTTACACAGTCATGCTAATAAAGCGTAATTGAATTGAATTAAAGCTAAATGAATTAAATGTTTTAATGAAATAAATAACCAGCGGGCAAATATTGCAGATGATTATGCCTAATCAATTGTGAAAAGCAGAAATCCTGATCATGATTAAAATAGAATTTATCGTGCAGCACGAACTGTGGGACTCTGGCTGTGATGCTTTAAAAAAAAAAAGATTAAAAAACACTATAAAAAGTCTTCTGAAGTCACACAATATCTTTGTGTGAAGACAAATGATTAAAATTAAGGTCAATATTCACAGATAATCATTTAAACCAGTGAGCTAAAGAACTGGATCAGCCTGTTTCACGATGTCTCAGGCTGGTTTTGTGAACTGGATCAGCAGATTCACAGAAAAGATCTGACTGGAAATAATGATTTCTTCATGAATCATGAAAGACAGTCGTGAGATTTGTAGTGAGGTGAGTAAACGATGACAAACTTTAGTTTTTGGGTGAACTATTCACAGTACGTTACAGTAAAATGTTATGACTTGCATCAGTCGGGATCTCATTTGATCATGTTTCCTTCAGATGGGTCGTACCACCGCAGTTTCCGTCGGGGAAGCGGTGGCCACCATCCCAGCGAGAAGCGGCTCAGACGCTCCCGAGCTCCACGAAGCGACAGACCTCGTCTGGAAACCCTGGAGTGCAGGGTAGGAGACCGCAGGCGGTCCAACAGCGTCCTGGACGGCAGCCTTACCCTGCACTCCACCCGCTACCGGCACGAAGACTCCTGCTCCACCTGCTCCTCTTCCTCAGAGTCCGAGGAGGAAGGCTTCTTTCTGGGCCAACGCATTCCTCTGCCGCCGCAGCTGACGGGTGAAGAGAGAGCAGCAGAAGGACAGACAGAGGACGAGGACAAGAGCCGAAGAGGAAGCTTCAGGAGAAGAAGGACACAGAGTCTCAGTAGAAAAGACAAGGACAAGAACTGCATACTGTCCTGAGACCAAGACGTGTGTGTTAAAAACTAAAGAACGCGCTGAAGACTCTCTGAACCAGCAAGCTGCTCAGTCCAGATCAAAGTCGATGAGGGACATTTTGTATGATAAAAATAGAAACTCTCTTACAATTCTATGCATCTGTGTAACAGTATTTTTATAGAGGTGATGATATATTATCCAACATCAGTTTCAGTATCAGGGTGCTTTGTCAAATTTACTGGCATTATTATTCGGGCCGAGGAACAGTTCTAATCCAAATTCTGTTTGTTACAGGAAAAGTAGCACTACAGTTTCTAAAGTTATGTGAGAGAGCTAGGTGAACTAATTTCATTTTACATTTCTTTACAGCTAAAGGTCACACAACACAAATATTCGGCACAATAAATTCACTCCAATTTTGGCATGCTGTTCAGTATGGAAGCTTGTTTCCACCACTGAATAAAAATAAAAGGTCATTGCGACTTTTTTTTCTCTCTCGCAACTCTGACTTTTTATCTCGCAATTGCGAGTTTGCGCATTTTTTCCTCATAATTATGAGATATAAACTCACAATTGCAAGTTATAAAGTCAGAATTACATGATACAATGTCATAGTTGCTTGTTAAAAAGTCCGAATTGAAAAAAAAATCAGAATTGGGAGAGAAAATTAATTTGTGCGATATAAACTTGCAATTGTGGAAAAAGTCAGTATTGTGAGTTTATATCTTTATTTCTTGCAATTGTGAGTTTATATCCTGCAATTCTGACTTTATAACGACTTACCTCGCAATTCTGAGAAAAAAAAGACAGAATTGTGTGATAGTCACAATTACCTTTTTTACATTTTTAATTCAGTGGTGGAAATGGGCTTTCATAGTTTAGAACAATACGTCAGACGGAATGCATGAAAATGCAATTTCACTCATTGTACGTGGCGCTTACAAGTAAGCAGAATTACTCCAGCACAAAAAAAACAACTTTCCGTTACCTTTTCATTCCGTTGACATTTGCTTGGAAATCAAAACATTATTCACGTTTTCTAACAGCCGTTTAGATTTTTGTATTTATATTGTTTATTATAAAACAGATAGTTCCGGTCCTTGATTCTGATTGGTTGAGCCGCGTTCGAAGCTGTTGTAAATTACTCTACAAACATACACCTTTGTTTACTTTGTGTGTTGCTCGGCAACCACTTTGTTGCAACCACAACCGTTTCTGAGGAACTACATTGTTTGGTGGAAGAATACTGTTTTTATTAATATCATTACACTTTATTTGCTCCGTTTTATTTTGTGAAACCTTTATAAAACTTTATTATAAAGCGGGTAGTTCCGGTGCTTGATTCTGATTGGCTGAGCCGCGTTCGAAGCTGTTGTAAATTACTCTACAAACATACACCTTTGTTTACTTTGTGTGTTGCTCGGCAACCACTTTGTTGCAACCACAACCGTTTCTGAGGAACTACATTGTTTGGTGGAAGAATACTGTTTTTATTAATATCATTACACTTTATTTGCTCTGTTTTATTCTGTGAAACCTTACTACGTATATGTAATAACCGTTTTATAAAAGCAATAAGCCCTGTGAAGCCGTGGTTTACAGTGAATTAATAACAGCTAAGGGGCGTTGTTAGGCACGACGCAAAGCAGGCTTCTTAGGGCTTATTGCTTTATCAAACAACACCAAACACAAAGACAAGAAAGCCGCTTCTGGATTCTTCCTCCGCTATTCACTGTTGCTTAGAAAAATCTGTTTAGTGTATCCGTGAGCGCCACCAAGTTTTAGCTTCATGTAACAGCAGCGACTTTGGGCATGTGACAAAAAAAGTGTGAACATTATTGGCTGGTTGGCGAGCTTTATTCACAGTGCAAAATAGAGATTAGATCACCGAAACCAAAATAGAAATTAGAACACTGAAACAGAAATTGTTTATTGGACCGGATTTTTGTCAGTGTAAACAATACTGGAATCAGAGCCATGGTAACTATGCTCAAAATGGAATACAAGCATACTGTAGCGCAGTGTTTGCAAGAGTAATGCGATACTGTGTTGTCATATGACTTCATAAAAATAGTCATCTTGTGTTTTTAAATCTAATTTTGTGTTAAATTTTCTTTGGCGATCACATAATGAAATAAGGTGTTAAAAACCACAGATGTGCAATTGCATGGAAAATGTGTGGTCAGATCAAGCACATTGCATTGTGGGATGGATTACCCAGTGTTTGCCCTACTAAATACTGCACGTTTTGTCAAATGTATGACAAATATTCCATGCCTAAGGAAAATATTAATTGTATGAACAGCATACAGTTGTTGTATGCTATTCACGCAGCCTGTGTGTTGGTGAAAGATCATTCCATTTATTCAGCAAAACCAGTTAAAAATCATAGAAATGAGCTGTTGTTATATTCAGTGTTGGGGAAAGTTACTTTTAAAAGTAATGTATTACAATATTGCATTACTCCTTAAAAAAAAAAGCAACTAACTGTGTTTTTACTTTTTTTATGGAAAGTAATGTTACTTTTGCATCACTTTTTCTCATCTGGCCTGGGCTTGCTTGTTTGTTTTTAATATTAAAAAAGTTCTATTTTTGGCAAATGTAAAAGCCATTTCACACCAAAAGTGAAATGAATAAGCCTCAGGCTGAAGAAAATAATTGAATTATTGCAGGTTTGTGTCATATTTTGAGTTTGCATTTCACTGTGTTTATCCATTTTGAGGAACACTGAATCTGTTTTTGTGCAGGCGAGCTGAGTAAATGCATGTTCACATTTAGTTTAGAACTACAGGAAGATGTTCACACAGCGCGCACAACGCCTCTGCACTCACTCCTGATTTCTCTCAACATGAGGAAAGCAGAGCTGTCAGTCAGTAAATGGGAAAACAAAGTAACTCAAATAGTTTCATGTAAATTAAAAAGTAATGCATTACTTGAAAAAAGTAATCTGATTACGTAACTCGCATTACTTGTAATGCATTACCCCCAACACTGGTTATATTTCTAAAATGTGTAGTCCCTTAAGTTCCACATCTGCTAAAGCTGTAGTACAAGTTAAAAAGTGCTAAATCTAAAACAAACTAATTTAACAAGTCAATAGTTGGTGCTTGTTTGACTGGTTTTGAGAGAGCTGTGTAATTTGCACTTGTTTAAGGTTTAACTATATGTGAAACTTCTTGAAATGCAAACACAATGTTGTGGAGTTATTGTATTTGAGCATGTACTAGAAACACAAGTCAACAAACTGTATAGCAAAAAGTCATAAGTCTACTACAGGCCATATCAGAACAGAATGTGGGAAAATATAGTCTTTATCTCCTCATCAACTGTATTATATGTAAATATTGGCATTTCAAACCTCTCTGTGTGTAAATGAGAGTTTAAATAAAGACATGACTTTCACTTTGTGTTTTGCAAAATAGAGATAAAAGGATTGTATGTTAGAATTGTATTTCTATAAACAACATGGTGATGGTTTTATATTCTTGTCAAAATGCTCTCTGGCTTAAAATATTTTTAGAAACTTTAAAAAGTCATCTTTTTGAATGAGAAAAATAAAACACGTGATCCTAAACGTTATGTTCATATATTTTTTGTATGTTAAAGTACATTATTAGGGTACTACACAAAAATGACAATTGCAATCACATTCTGTTTTATCATGCAAATTTAGCTATAAATAGTCTATAAATATCACTCTGCAAATCAGAATACAGGTGCATCTCAATAAATTAGAATGTTGTGGAAAAGTTCATTTATTTCAGTAATTCAACTCAAATTGTGAAACTCGTGTATTAAATAAATTCAATGCACACAGACTGAAGTAGTTTAAGTCTTTGGTTCTTTTAATTGTGATGATTTTGGCTCACATTTAACAAAAACCCACCAATTCACAACAAATCAGAATACTGTATATACGTACACACACACACACACACACACACACATATATATATATATATATATAAACAGAGCTAATTCCAAGATAAAAAATAAAAATATATTGTCTTCTCAAAGATAATTGACTATCAACTGACAGCTTGTCTCTTCTCTACATACAGCAACACTTAGAGATTCCAGACAAAAGGTGGCATGAGAATTTTCTCAAGGCAAAAGTTGCTTTTTTCTTCAGTGATCAGGTGACTCAAAGGGTATATGGGACATACTTCCTGGAGAGTGAGTGAGTTTCTGATTGGATGGGACAAGAAAAGGGGAAAAAAAGCATAGGAGGAGTGTTTGTGGAGAGAGTCAAACCGGTTTGGCAAGTTTTACTTTCTCCTTAACACAAACACACGCGTGCACCATCTGCCTTGATTTCTTTCTGCTCTCTGACACACAAAAGACATTACTGAATCCTGACTCTGTCTTACCTGACTCAAACGTTAGAGTTAAAGGGGAAACCGGTACTGTTGAGTTTCCTGAAACAGTCACAGGTATGTTTGGCTGTGTGTGCATTGTCTGTGTATGTGTCTCAATGTGATCTATACCTTTAAACGATGTGGCTAACATACAGTATACTTTACTACATTCTGTCTTGTTTTAATTCCCCGTAACTGTTGTTTTGGTTCTAATCCTGGATCATGTAGATCATGCCTGTCCCTGGAATCTGTAAGTGAAACCTTGTGTTCCATTTATTCTTGTTGACCTTATATTTTTTCTTGCCTTAAGGGTTCGATTTCATATTTACTTCATCTTGAATTATAACCTCAATGTGTTTAAAACAGGTATATATATATATTTTACTGGAATGCTACTGATGCTGTTTCTTGTCAGCCATATGCTGGAAAAGCGCTTATCTGCTTATGACGTATCATATCCTGTATCTCGTTCCAAAACTTTAGTCCGTTTCAAGTGAGGGTAGTATCTCAACAGCTGTTTATGACCACTATTCATATACTGCACACCTTTAAAGGGATAGTTCACCCAAAAATTTAAATTACCCCATGATTTACTCACCCTCAAGCCATTCTAGGTGTATATGACTTTCTTCTTTCAGACAAATACAACCAGAGTTATATTAAGCTATGTCCTGGCTCTTCCAAGCTTTATAATCGCAGTGGATGGCTGTTGAGATTTTGATGTCCAAAAAAGTACATCCATCCATCATAAAAAGTGCTCCACATGTCTTCGGGGGGTTAATAAAGGCCTTCTGAAAAATATCTATATTTAAAACTTCATAAACTGTAATCTCTTGCTTCCACTAACTGTCGTATGCACATTCATTCACTGATGACGTAGGTGTAGTGTTTTGTTTACAGGAGCAAAGAAACAAAGTTTCCCTTGTTTAGCAAAGGAAAACCAGTCTCCTCTTGGCTTATATCGAAATTTACAAATCCTCATTTTGTACTTCTAATTCATGACCGGTGTTTGCGTTTCGTCACTTCTCACCAAAGATTACGCTAGGTCTGTGTCCTACATCATCCGCTGGAACACCACTCTCTCGTGAATGTGCGTAAGACAGTTAGTGGAAGCTAGACATTGCGGTTTATAAAGTTTTAATATGGATATTTTTCTTACACAAACACATTGAGTCGCTTCAGGAGGTCTTTATTAACTCCCCGGAGCCGTGTAAAGCACTTGTTATGATGGATGCACTTTTTTGGGCTTCAATTGGACTATTGAATATCAACACCCATTCACTGCCATTATAAAGTTTGGATGAGCCAGGACATTTTTAGTATAGCTCCGATAATATTCTTCTGAAAGAATAAAGTCATATACACCTAGGATGGCCTGAGGGTCAAGGGGCAATTTTAATTTTTGGGTGAACAATTTCTTTAAGGTAAGAGTTTAAAAACTCTTGGTGTACATTCTTTGGACTCACATCATCTCCGACCCCAATATTTGAAATTATATATGATATTTCGCTATAGAGATAAAAAGCGTAGGACCACGATTTTTCAGTAGTATTACAGCACACGGTGGGTGTATATTAGCACTTATCGGAAGGAGCATTTGGACCCCGAAACTGTGATGCACAACAGGGATAGTTCACCCAAAAATGAAAATTCTGTCATCATTCATGCAACCTCATGTTGTTCCAAACCTGTATGACTTTCTTTTTTCTGCCGAGCACGAAAGAAGATATTTTGAAGAATGTAGAAAAAATATGGAAATTGATGAGGACCAGAAACTGTTTGGTTACCCACATTCTTCAAAATATCTTCTTAAGCAACACTTAGCTACAACAAACCCAGCCACATTCTAAAAACCCAACACTCATTGCAGTGCACTGGCAACCACCGACAAACAACGCCCTAACATTGTGGTTGGTGACTTGCGCAGACAAGCACCACTCATATTTTCTTAAGCAAATGAAAAAAAAAACAATCTACTTATTAAAGCAAAGTCTTTAAAAGTGTGAGTGCATAGAAGAGTAAACTGTCTAGCTGCAATTGTCTGATTGTCATAATTATTTCTGTTCCCCCAGGTATTAAAACGTGAATCCAGTGTCTCCAATGCATTAATGTGGAAGTATACTCTGCCTGTAAGTCCATTCATCTACTTCCAAGCAAACAAGTGGAGAAAAAAAAAGAGAAATAGCTGAAGCAAGCAACACTTAGCTACAACAAACCCAGCCACATTCTAAAAACCCAACACTCATTGCAGTGCACTGGCAACCACCGACAAACAACGCCCTAACATTGTGGTTGGTGACTTGCGCAGACAAGCACCACTCATATTTTCTTCAGCAAATGAAAAAACCAATCTACTTATTAAAGCAAAGTCTTTAAAAGTGTGAGTGCATAGAAGAGTAAACTGTCTAGCTGCAATTGTCTGATTGTCATAATTATTTCTGTTCCCCCAGGTATTAAAACGTGAATCCAGTGTCTCCAATGCATTAATGTGGAAGTATACTCTGCCTGTAAGTCCATTCATCTACTTCCAAGCAAACAAGTGGAGGAAAAAAAAGAGAAATAGCTGAAGTTTTTCATTTCCAAGGATGTCAACTGACACTCTCCAGCCGTCTTCACGGAGAATAATAAGGCTGGCTGTAACTCCTGGCACTCCAAGTCGCAACCTGGAGTCCAGTTGTCAAGTCAAATCATCTCCAGGCATACGCAAACCAAGTGCGGTGGAACGTTTGGAAGCAGACAAGGCCAAGTACGTCAAGAGCCAACAGGTGGCTTTGAAGAAGCAGCAGCCAGTTATTT